CCGGAGTCTGGGGGGCCTCCAGAGGTGGCGGGAAACCCCTCTGCCCGCCCCTCCCCCACTAGCTGTATGGCTCGTGGAGCCCAGGGACCCGTTCTGAGCCTCTTTTACTCATCGGCAAAACGGGCACAAGGGTAGCGATTATCGCGAGCACTTTGAGGATTTAGATAATCTAGGAATTGATCCCCTTGTCCCATGCGCCAGATCTCATTGTTGGAAAGCTGCTTCTCCGCCCGGGAGGTTCACGGGTTCCGGGTGGCGGTGGGTCCCTCACTGTCCCCGCCCTGGAGCCGGCGGATTCGCTTTCGGTTGGGCGGCCGAGCCTGGGGATGGGGCGGCAGAGCTGGCCGCAGATGTCGCTGTCCTGAGTCCCACCTGCGCCCTCCCCTGGCCCTAGCCGCACCTCCGAAAGTGAGGGCAATGCCCTGGAGAGGAAAGTCGGCAGAGATCGGATAAGGAAGACCAGAGCTGCCGTCTTCGGCCCCCTGCAGGCCCGCTGCCACCAGAAATCGAGGGACTGGGGCCGAGAGCGCGGCTGCAGCCTGCTGAGGTCCGCGCAGTCCCGGGCGCCGAAGCAGGGTCCGCCCCGTCCTTAGTCCCGCCTCAGGCCGCCTCTGAGGCTTCCGATTGGCTCCGTGGTTCGTAGGCGTGGCCAGAGGCGGGCGCTAGGCCCCTCCGGCGCTCCCGATTGGGTCCTAGCCCGGTGGGCGTGGCCAGGGCGGTGCTAGGACCTGGTGGCGCACCGTGGACGTCACGGAGCGGCGCCCGGGCTGCGGGTTGAGCGGGAGGCGCGAGTGGCGCGGGGTCGGACCCGGACCCGGAGCCGGGCACCAGGATCCGGCCGGTACCAGGGCAGGGAGAGGCGGGGGCGGCGGTGTTTCCCGCCAGACAGCGGCCGGGGTCTTCGCCTCCCTGCCGTGGGGGCCTGCGTCCCCGCTGCAGCTGCCGCCGGGCTGGGTTTTGCGGGCACAGCCCTGACCTCTGCTGCACCCGGCTGGAGCGGGAGCCGCGGGCAGACGCCGCCCCAGGGGCAGCTTGTGTGCCCAGACCCTGGCGATCGCATGGGGGGTGACCCCCAGTCGCCCCGAGTCCGTGGGGAGCGGGGGCGGGGGCGCGGGATGGGGGTCAGTGACGGGGGCGCTCCGGTCCGGTGATCCCTGGGGTAGCCTGGGCCTCTGCAGCTGGCCTCAGGCCTGTCCCCCTCCCCCCCCCCAGGTGGCGGGAAGGATGACCACGCTGACGCGACAGGACCTCAACTTCGGCCAAGGTTAGGGGGCCGGGCCGAGGGGCTGGGCACGCGCAGGGCCAGGGACGGCGGGTGGGTTCCCAGCGCCCCCCGCTTCTGCCCGGCAGTGGTGGCCGACGTGCTCTGCGAGTTCCTGGAGGTGGCCGTGCACCTCATCCTCTACGTGCGGGAGGTCTACCCGGTGGGCATCTTCCAGAAGCGGAAGAAGTATAACGTGCCGGTCCAGGTGAGTGCCCCGACGGGCAGGGGTGCGTCTCCACGCTCGCTCTCACGGGCGGCCCAGCCCTGGTGGACAGTGGGCTCTCCTTGCGGCCACGGCCCTCATCATCCTTCTCTGCTGGGACCGCCTTGCAGAAATGAAGGCATCAAGCCCTCAGATTCAGAGTGCCCCAGCGCATGGTTATATATGTATGTTTCGTGGCATTGGGGATCAGAGGGGGCTTTAGCATGGGCGTTACCACTGGGCCAGTCCCTGGACCCCTGGTTGTATCCAAATTATTTATTTAGCTTTTCGACCACACTTGGTGGTGTTTGGGGGCCACTGTCTGCATGGGATTGCTCCTGGCGGTGCTCAGGGTCACTCCTGTCTGGTGCACGGGGACCGTATCATTCAGTGCCATGGTTCACACCCTGTGGGCTGGGGGCCAGCAAGTGTCTTAACCTTTGCACTCTCTCTGGACCATTTTAAAAAGTTCTTGAAACAAGTTTGGGGAGAGGGCAGCTGGAAAAGTGAGCGAAGGCCCCTCCTCCTGTCCCTTTTTGCCTGATGCTCACGAGATGTCTCAGACCACCTGCAGGTAAGGCCCAAACCATCAGCCCTTCTGGCTGCAGCGGGTGCTAGAGGGAGCACAGGGCAAGGGGACAAAGAATCATCTTTTCCTGGGGACCCCACTGGTCATCATGGCTGTGTACGTACAGATGTCCTGCCACCCGGAGCTGAACCAGTACATCCAGGACACGCTGCACTGCGTCAAACCTCTCCTGGAGAAGGTGAGGCTCCGACCCTCCGGACCCCCACCCCTGCCCTCCAACCCTCTAGACCCCACCCCTGCTGCTAACCCTCCAGACCACCACCCCTGCCTCCGACCCCCCTGATCTTCAGGGCCCCCACCCCCTGCCCTCTGGCCCTCTGATCCTCCAGATGCCTACCCCCTGTCCTCTGACCCACCGCCCTCTGACCCCTGCCAACCTCCTGGCCCCTCAGCCCCCCAGCACCGCCCAGCTCCCAGCCCCCTGGCCCCTGGCCCCCGGATCCCCATCGTCCTTTACCACACAATGTCCCCAGCAGCCCGTTCTCTGCACACTAGGCCGGCATTGACTGCTGAGCAAGTGGGCACGTCGGGTGTGTGGGGGCCGGAATCCACCCTGGCTAGTGGAGTCGGCCTTCTCTCGGAGACAGGGTCCTGCCTCAGAGACTTCTGGGTGCCCCCCACCCTCACTTCAGTCCCAGTTTCCACATCCATCTTTGTGGGCCAGGGGCCGCGGGGGCCCTGCGGGGTGTACTTGGTGCTCTGTGTCAGCCCCCGTCCTCCCTGGGAACCCGCTGGAGTCCTGAGCGTGCGCTCTCCCGGGTCTCGCTGCAGAACGACGTGGAGAAGGTGGTGGTGGTGATTCTGGACAAAGAGCACCGCCCAGTGGAGAAATTCGTCTTCGAGATCACCCAGCCTCCCCTGCTGTCCATCAAGTGAGCTGCCTCGGCCCCCTGTGCCCTTCCCCCACTCCCTCCCCCCCATTCCGTGCCAGCGGGTGGGCTTTTGGCACAGTGTCCCCTTAGCTGAAGCCTGTTAGCAGCTCTGAGACCCCCACCCGCCATGGGGGGCTGGTCCCAGCCTCCACAGGCACCAAGGGCTTCCTGGTCAGGTGTCCAGTGGGAGGGGCAGGGGCAGGGTAACTGTTCCCCTTCCTGGGGTGAGTCAGGGCGCCCGAGTTGGACCCCGCTTGCCCAGGCTTGGCAGCCTGGCATGGGTCCCGGGTGTGAGTAGGGCTGGGCTGGGCCCTGGTTCTGGGTCTTCGAGGCAACTATCTATGCCTCAGCATCACCCAGGGTGCTCCCCCCCACCAGTGCTCCAGGAGAGTCAGGCCAGGCCCTGAGGACACTTCAGGGGCTGAGCTGGGGGGGAGGGGCTGAGGCCCCCCGTGATGGGAGCCCCCTCCCCTTCCCAGCGCAGACTCCCTGCTGTCGCACGTGGAACAGCTGCTCCGCGCCTTCATCCTGAAGATCAGCGTGTGTGATGCCGTCCTGGACCACAACCCCCCAGGTGTGCTCCCAGGCAGCCCGGGGCTTCCGTGGTTTGGTCTGTTCTCAGGACGGTTTGGCTGCACCAGGCTCTATCTTTTCCTTCCTGCCCTTTTGTTCTCTGAGAGCCTGCGGCCTCCAGGAAGCCTCCCTTGACTTCACCAGGCTCTCTGTCGGCTCTGTTGCTTTTGGGCCACACCCGACAGTGCGGCTGGGGAAGGGGGTTGGGGATACTCCCAGCTTTTGGGGTGGACCATGTGGTGCCCGGGAGAGAACTCAGGCCTCCTGCATGAAGAGCCTTGCTTAGCCCACGGGGCCCTCCGGCCCTTCCCGGCCATGCCCCTGGTTTATTGTCTCCGCTGTAGGGCTGAGAGGCTGGCTAGGGGGTGGGAGGGGGCAGGTGGGGGGTGTCCAGCCTTCACCCCACCCTGCCTCTCAGGGTGCACATTCACGGTCTTGGTGCACACGAGAGAAGCAGCCGCCCGGAACATGGAGAAAATCCAAGTCATCAAGGTGAGCGGCTGGGCTGGGCCACGGGGCCCTCGGGGTGGTCTCGGGGCTCTGCGTGGGCCGGGGGCCGCGGGGAGCCTGAGGAGTGGTCTTGGGGTTCTGTGCTGGTAGCAGTGCTCCCTCCTGCCTGCCCCCCCACACACACACACAAACGACCGCACACTTGTCTCGCTCCATCTGTGCACTTGGCTCTGAGAGGTTTTGGTGGTCGGGGACGGGGGTCCTGACCTCCCAGTTTCCAAAGAGGCACCTGGGCTTCTTGAGTCCCTCGGGTACCCGCCCGGCCCAGTCCCCTGCTGCGCCCTGACCCGGGTCCCCTTCTCAGGACTTCCCCTGGATCCTGGCCGACGAGCAGGACGTGCACATGCATGACCCCCGGCTGATCCCCCTGAAAACCATGACATCAGACATCCTGAAGGTGAGTCTCGGTCAGATAATGAGGGGCCAGGCCAGGCCGTGTCCAGTCCCTCCTTTCTCCTCCCTGCCCCCTGCCCTGCACGGCTGTTCCGCGCCCCTGCATCCGTGCGTGCGTCTGTTCCTATCCCTCAGATGCAGCTCTACGTGGAAGAACGAGCTCAGAAGAGCAGCTGAGGGGGCCTGCTCCCCACTGACACCGCATCTCTCGGACTTTGGGGCCCCTGCCTGGGGCAGGGCTGCGGGGCCCCGATTCCAAGTGCTCTTACTGCCTCTGTGTCAGGCCCTGGACACCAGCGCAGAGCTGCTCAGGTCCGGGTCCTTGCATGGAGGAATTCCTCCAGGAAGGCTGTGAAGGGCGCTGGGGCCTTGGTTTTCTGGCCTCCAGGGGTCTGGCCGGCCAACACTGCCTGTCTCGGATACTGTGTTGTGAGTTGTTTCAATAAAGGGCCCCATGGGCTGAGCCAGTGGCGGAGCGGCAGGGACAGGGTGACCCCCGAGCCTCCAGCCCAGGCAGTTTCCAGTGAAAATGTTTATTGCAGAAAAACATCAGTACAAAGGGCAACAGGGCACCAAGGAGCACTGGCTTGCCACGGCAAGGCCCTCCGTGGGGACAGGACCAAGAGCTGCTTGAGGACAGGACATCCGGCCGGTCTGTGCAGCTTAAACAGGGTGGGCAGTGCCCTCCGAGGCCTGGCGCAGGGCCTTCCTGGGGCTGACGGTGACACTGCTGTTGGTCATGCGGGCCCCATACCAGCCTGCCCAGAACAGGGTGTCCTGTCCCCCGTGCTGGAAGAGAACGTGGCGCACACCGGGCGGGTAATCCGAGAAGGTGTGTGAGACCTGGGGGCCGGGGGTGCGGGGAAATGACCGACCATGAAGCCTGGGGAGGGGACAGACTGAAGGGGACAGCTCCACGCCCTGCCCAAGGTTCCAGGCAGGAGAGCTGGGGCTGCCGAGGGGGCCGGCCGGGCGGGGAGCTTACCTCTGTCCACTTGGAATCGTTCCACTGCGGGATGGTGATGGGCGGGGGCTCGAAGGAGGCCAGGGTGATGTAGTCGGCCGAGGTCAGGTGCACGCGTAGGCGGTAGATGCAGCCGCAGTCGCCGCGGGCCGCAAACCTGAGGCGGGGTGCGGGCTCTCAGGGCTGCGCCCACAGAGAGGGCGACAAGGGCCGCCTCTGGGCACCGTGGCACCAGAGAGCGTCCGGGTGAAGGGACTGGCACTGGGATCGGCTGGGGAGGGGGTGGGTGGCTGAAGCCAGGGGCAGGGAAGTGGCTGGGAGGCGTGTGGGGGGGGATCTCTGCCAGGCGATGGCCGATGGCCTCCCCACCTGCACGCCTGGGGGCCCTGCGGGTGCCCATTACCAGTCCTTCACCACGATGTCTGGCCGGTACTGGTCCAGCAGCTCCTCCCAGTAGCCCTCGGCTATGAGGTCCACCAGCTGTGACTTGAGGCACAACCTGGATAGGGGGAAGGGGAGACCGGGTGGCTGGCATTACTCCCTCCTCTTACCCCCCTCCCCCACGGACCCTGCAGGCCTGTGACCCCTGACCCCGCCCAGTTGCTGGTTCCCATCTGCAGGAAGTGACCACTGAGCTGACTCATCCCTCCAGTTCAGAGCCCTCAGGGGACAGTGCTGTTGCAGCTCCCTTCCGGCAGGGGCTGCCTGCCCCCAGCTCCCGGGGTGACTCCTGCACCAGGCAGCAGTGTCTGCCGGCGCCCCCCTTCCCCTGCCCCCCCCTCCTGCCCCCAGCCCCCGGGGTGACTCCTGCACCAGGCAGCAGTGTCTGCCGGCGCCCCCCTTCCCCCGCCCCCCCCCTCGTGGGGTTGGGGGCCCCTCCCTCTGGCCTGACCCGCCCCCCTCTCATCAAGGGCGCACTGGGCCCTGTGTGTCATACTCATACGACGTGGCAAAGTACTTCTTGACTTGGTCGTTGGGAAATTCTTTCACATAGTCTCCGGGCATTGTCTCCACCTTCCACTCGTCGCCCCCATTCTCGTCGATCTTCCAGGATGCCAGCCCCTCTAGGGACACCAGCTGGTCAGTCCAGGTGCCTCGCCCAACCGGCCCCGGGAACACTCCTACCCCCCGGCTGCAGCGCTGAACTTGAACTAGAAGGGCAGAAGTTCCTCCTTCCAGCGGTCAGGCCTCCCAATGCCCCTTCCCCGGGCCCATGAGATTGGGAGATGCAGGCCTGAGAGCCCCGGGTGGGTGCGGGCGTCCACGCTCAGGGGGCGGCTACTCTTCCTTGGCTGCTGCACCCCAGGATGGGAGGACCAGCCTCTGATGGCAACGGGGCCCCAGGTTCCCCTGCCCAGCAGGCTGAGAGACCCATTTCCGGTGGCTCACGGGGCTGAGTACAGGCTTTGTGTCTGGGAGACTGGGGGGTCAATCATGGCGCTGCATACAGCCCCCCAGCTCTGCTGGGAGCAACCCCTGAGCACCGCCACGGGGGTAGCCCCCAAACCATAAAGGGACAGAAGTCAGTCCTTAGGAAACAGGCCTTTCTAGAACATTCATCAGGAGACCTTTTCCAAGTGACTCCTTTGCCCCCTGAACTAGGAGTCCCTTTATATTCCCCAGGAGGTCTAGACTCTTCATCCACACCCCTGCAGCCCCCCCCACACCCCCCACCTCCCCAGAACCAGAGGGATCAGAGAAACTCAGGAGCCTGCCAAGTGCCCAGCAGAAGCTCCGGGAGATCGGGGCGTGGCCAGGCTGCTGGGAAAGGCACGCTGGGCGGTGTCCACAGGAGAAGGGCGGCCACTGTGGGGCCACTGAGTGGGCAGGACCAGTCCGCGCAGGTGCTGCGGTCCTGGGTCTTCGTGTAAGGCTTTCACGGAACACGTTAGTGCCTCTGAAAACAGGGCCAGCCCTAATTACGTCACCAGGTCCTGAGAACCCCGTAGGAATTAGGAAAGAGGACAGCTAAGGGACGGTGGCCATGGGCGAGGGAGGCCCAGTGGCAGATACCATCCTTCAGGTTCCTGGAATAAGAAATGTGTGGCCCAGGGAAAAGGAACGAGATTGGTACAGTGGTTCTGGGACCAGAGTGACAGTACAGCGGGGAAGACCTTTGCCTGCACACACCAAACCGGGTTTGATCCCGAAACCCCGTCTGGTTCCCAGGATCATAAGTCCCGAGCGCAGAGCCAACAGTAAGCCCTGAGCATCACCAGGTGTGACCCCCAAAACAAGTTTTGGCTGATGGAAAGAGCTTCAGGATGAGGCAACAGAGATGGGGGAACACTGGTGGGGCCGGGGCAGGGCTCGGAACTTGGACGGGAGGAAGGAGGAGGTGACAGGCGGCAGGGGAACATTCCAGGTGTCCGGGAGAGGACAGCCGCCGCCACCGGGACCTCACCTTCAGCGCATGGGTTGCTGAGGAGATTCCGCTGGAGGGCGCACAGGAAGTAGAAGACCTTCCAGTCAGTCACGGGCTGGTCCCCCTCCTGGACGACATAGCCGTCCTGCAAGCACTTGCGCTTCCAGAGGGTCACCAAGTCGATGAGGTCGCGCCAGAGGCTGCAGACCAGGCGGCAGCACAGCAGCAGCTGGCGGGCTGGCACGTGCGTGAACACCTCCAGCAGGATGTTCTCCGGCAGCTGGTTGATGTTCTCCACCGCCATGGCCGTGGCCTCCTGTGGAGAGGGGGTCAGAGTGGTGGCACAGCCGGCCTCCACGCGGCCCACCCGGGTGCCATCCCCGGCATCCCAATGGGTCCCCGGCGCCCAGCCATGAGCATCGCCAGGTGTGGACCAAAATCTTTTAAAACTTAAAAAGACTTTTTAAATTAATTTTTTTAATATAAAAAAAAGCTGCGGGTCTGGAGAGATAGCACAGCGGGTAGGGCGTTTGCCTTGCACGCGGCCAACCCGGGTTCAATTCCCAGCATCCCGTATGGTCCCCTGAACACCGCCAGGAGTAACTCCTGAGTGCAGAGCCAGGAGTAAGCCCTGTGCATCGCTGGGTGTGACCCAAAAAAGCAAAAAAAAAATCAGTGCTTTGACAGGCAGTAGGCGCTCATTCCACGCTAGGCACGATTTTAATATTATACTTAATATCATTTCCCGGTTCCAGGATCTGGATTTTATAGTCTCTGAGTCGCGGCCGCGCGACATCTTATCAGAACTTTTTTTTATGACATCTTATTGTCTCATTCCTACTTTGGACAAACTTGCAGGCTATCGAATGTAGCCTGCCCACAGGGCAGAGTCTGGCAAACTCCCCGTGGTGTACCAAATATGCCAAATACCAGTAACAATGATGGGTCTCTTTCTCCTAAAGAGCCTTGAATATAATCTCAGGGGTAGGATGAAAGAGACGTTACTGGGGCCTGCTCGAGGCAATCGACGAATAACAGGATGATGAAATGAAAAAAATGAAAATCATTTCCCGGAGTCCGGGGGGGCCTCCAGAGGTGGCGGGAAACCCCTCTGCCCGCCCCTCCCCCACTAGCTGTATGGCTCGTGGAGCCCAGGGACCCGTTCTGAGCCTCTTTTACTCATCCGCAAAGCGGGCACAAGGGTAGCGATTATCGCGAGCACTTTGAGGATTTAGATAATCTGCGAACTGATCCCCTGGTCCCACGCGCCAGATCTGCTTGTTACGATGCGCGTGTTGGAAAGCAAGCGGTTCTCCGCCCGGGAGGTTCACGGTTCCGGGTGGCGGTGGGTCCCTCACTGTCCCCGCCCTGGAGCCGGCGGATTCGCTTTCTGTTGGGCGGCCGAGCCTGGGGATGGGGCGGCAGAGCTGGCCGCAGAAGTCGCTGTCCTGAGTCCCACCTGCGCCCTCCCCTGGCCCTAGCCGCACCTCCGAAAGTGAGGGCAGTGCCCTGGAGAGGAAGGTCGGCAGAGATCGGATAAGGAAGACCAGAGCTGCCGTCTTCGGCCCCCTGCAGGCCCGCTGCCACCAGAAATCGAGGGACCGGGGCCGAGAGCGCGGCTGCAGCCTGCTGAGGTCCGCGCAGTCCCGGGCGCCGAAGCAGGGTCCGCCCCGTCCTTAGTCCCGCCTCAGGCCGCCTCTGAGGCTTCCGATTGGCTCCGTGGTTCGTAGGCGTGGCCGGAGGCGGGCGCTAGGCCCCTCCGGCGCTCCCGATTGGGTTCTAGCCCGGTGGGCGTGGCCGGGGCGGTGCTAGGACCTGGTGGCGCACCGTGGACGTCACGGAGCGGCGCCCGGGCTGCGGGTTGAGCGGGAGGCGCGAGTGGCGCGGGGTCGGACCCGGACCCGGAGCCGGGCACCAGGATCCGGCCGGTACCAGGGCAGGGAGAGGCGGGGGCGGCGGTGTTTCCCGCCAGACAGCGGCCGGGGTCTTCGCCTCCCTGCCGTGGGGGCCTGCGTCCCCGCTGCAGCTGCCGCCGGGCTGGGTTTTGCGGGCACAGCCCTGACCTCTGCTGCACCCGGCTGGAGCGGGAGCCGCGGGCAGACGCCGCCCCAGGGGCAGCTTGTGTGCCCAGACCCTGGCGATGGCATTGGGGGTGACCCACAGTCGCCCCGAGTCCGTGGGGAGCGGGGGCGGGGGCGCGGGATGGGGGTCAGTGCTCTTACTGCCTCGGTGTCAGGCCCTCGACGCCAGCGCAGAGCTGCTCAGGTCCGGGTCCTTGTGATGTAGGCAGCTAGAAAGGGAAAGGCTCTCTGCAATGAAACAAAGTCTCATAGAAGAAGAATTCTAGGACCGACCCACCCTGTGGAGACAGAGAATAAGGACTTGATAAGACCATCCCCACATCCTGAAGATATGGGACACCTCCCCATGAAATTCCTCCTTTCCGAGAACCCCCTTTCAATCCGGTTGTCTCCAGCGACCCAGCCCCAAGGAGATTCCAGAACATTCCGAGTCAGAAGGATCTATAAGAACCAGCTCGAGAGCCCACTTGGCGCTCTCTCCACCCTCGGAGAAGCCCGCGTTTCCTTTGGATGCGTGACTCTCTCTCTCTTCCTCTCCATTCCCCCGCTTATCTGCTTATCCCTTTCTCTCCCTCTCCAAAAGCCTCCAAATAAAACCTGTTACTTCACTGCTCGTCTACTCCTGAAATTCTTTTCTGCGAGCGAGACGAGAACCTTAGAAACCCCGGGTAAGGCTTAGGACTGGTCTCTCCTTTCCTGCAAAGAGCGAATTCTCGCCCCAGCTTGAGTCCGTGGCTCCCCGAGCAATCGGGTGGCGGGGATTAACTCCCGTGCCGAGAAGATCAAGCGGACTTCAGGTGTGGCTTGACGGCCACCTTGTGGGGCTGGCGGGGCTTAGGCCCGTGCCTAGCAGGTGCTCACTGCAGACTTTACCGGTCCTAGCCTACCCAGGGTCCCGGGTGGCAGGGGCGGGTGGGGAGAAAGTGACCATCTTTCTCCTCCCCACTTCACATAAGTCACCCGTGGGGCCCACCGACATCAGATGGCGACCACGAAGGGACTGGCAGTGAAGAAATCCACGAGGAAGGAGGTAATCTGTGGGAAATCTGCTGTGGAGGTATGCTCCCTTGGAAATCTCTAGGGGGGGAGGGGGAGGAATGTGATAACCTCTGTGTGAATGTGTGTGTGTATGAGCACCTGATAGGAAAGCCCACTAGTGAGAAGATCCTGGGAAAACTAAGGCAGATCAATTTCTAGGTAGAAATCCCTTTCCCCAAGCAGAATCAGCTGGAGGTCAATTCAAATGCTAATGGCGGCAGTCAGCAGGTTTAGCCCTAGGCCAAGTGAAGCAGAGAAAAAAAAGAGGTAAAAAGACAGGCAAGAAGTTTGTGGAAGAAAGTGTCAGCAGGGAGCATTGGAATATGTGGCAAGCTAAGAGAGGCAGAACTTTTCTCTTCTCCCCTTAATAGGCTTCTTGGAAACCCATGGCACTCTAGGTATGGCTCCACACGTGCAAGCCACGGTCGTGTGGACGCTCGGGAGGCAGGACCCAGGGACTCCTGGGGTGACTCAGAAATCTCTAAAGGAGACATCCTTTAAAGAGAGATTTTTCTGATGGGCCGGCATGCAGTTGTGGTCGTGTCCGCGCTTTCTCCAGAACCACAACACTAGAAACTATTAGGAGGAGAGCTTGCTAAGGAATTATCCTACCCGAGATTATTCTTTTCCCTCCCTTTCATAGGTTATTGCTGACACTTAGGAGATATGGGAAATTCTACATCAGTACCTATGCATTCTCCTTTGGGTTGCTTGTTAAAACACCAGAGGAGCCTGAAGCTAGAGAGCTTAAATTTTCTAATTTAAGCTTCTTGTTGACCTCTGTAACACCACGTGGCCTGAGTATAAGCTAGAACTTGGGGAAAGATGGCCAGTGAATGGCAGTTTGCATGACCAGATCATTTTGCAGTCAGATCTTTGCAGGTAACAAAAGAAATAGGATTATCAAAGCAGAGGAGGCAGGAAAAATGCAAGATCATATGATTAATTGTTTGATATCAGAAACAAAGAAGTATGTCACTAATGCAGCCTATCCCCATGTCTGATAAGAAGATACCAGCCCCCTGCCTCAGAACTAGCCTTGATCAAAGTATGGTAACATCTGACAACCTTAGGTTTCAACTGCTTTGTCATAGTTTATTTTGCCCGCTTATATCAACAAAAGCGCTTTCTTGACCCATTTTTAACAAACAGGAGACTGGCTGGTCAGGCTGGGAAACGGGGGCCGATAGGGCTTCTTTGCCCTGGGGACTGCCCTTCCTTTCTCTGTCCATCAGTTTTCTCCCTGCCATTTTTGAAGGGTCAGATTGATTGATCAACTGCGGATGTGTGTACATGTACGTGTGGTGGTCTTTAGTCAGTTCATTGTCTGTCTGTCTGTCTGTCTGTCTGTGTGGAACACTCGAGTGCTGGAACCAGGTTGAAATCAGAAGTAGAAATTCTAGAGAAGTCAGCGATATGCAACTCAGTGATTGAAGGAATGCAGTTGTTTTTGGAACTTGCTAGATGAGGTTTAAGCAAAGATTTCTTATCAGAAGGTTGAGCCTACAGAGAAAGCAGAATTCTCAGCCTAGATTTCTTATTAGAAGAATGTTAATGATTAGTAACAGTTGAAATCCTTTTGAACTTAAGAATCTGTACTATCTAGAAGAGCTGTGGAACTAGAGCCTGAAACTAAAGTGAAATAAAGTTCAGAGAATGCAAGGCTTTATCTTACAAGCCTCAGCCAATTGTAATGAGGAATTTAGCTGTTTTACAAACAACAGAGGTACATAAGCCACTAAAATAAAGTTTCCTCATATTAATTGTTTTCTTATGTAACCATAAACATTGACAGTCCAAGTGCTTTTTCTATGCTAATATCAAAGTTTGGTAAAAACTAAAGGGCTTTTTCTGTGTCTGAAAGTATGTTTGTATTCTTGCGGAATTGGTAAAAGTATCTGGTGTAGAAAGCTTATGATTGAAATAACTAAGGGACAAGAACTATTGAAATTAAGCCAAAGAGGGTTTTATCATGTTTTATATTAATTGATGGTTCAAAGGTTTTATGCCATTATATCAATGTACATATTTGTATCTGCACTGGATTAGAATATTTGACCTAGAAAATCTTGTGAGTTGAAATAATGTGATACATAAAAACAGGTTCATGTTTATTTTAAAATATGAGTTTCTAGAGTTACAAAGTTAGTTGCAAAACTTATCCTACCAGTGGTTTTGTTTGATCTCTGAGACTTTTGGTAACTAAAATTTCTAGAGGTACTTAGCAAAGAATTATAAGTAATCTCCGATGTCATCTCGATAGTCTGAAGCCATAGCATTGCACCTTGGTGAAAGTATGAGATAACTGTATTGTTAATCAGCCTGTCCTGTATGTGAAAATGCATGCTATTATTATGATAACTTTATTTCATGCCAAGTTTTGTCTCCAGGTATCAACCTAGTCCTGACCTTCACAGAACTTTGTACACAAGTGTAAAATGCTTTCTGTTCTATGGTAATCTGAGTGTTTAATCTTTTTGCATTTGTGTTTTCCTAGAAATCAGAATTCTAAGATGTCTCTTGGTTAATTTCTAATGTAAAGTGAACTTTTGCCCAATGAATATATGTTGTAAGAACTTTAGTTGTGAGCATCTCTAAGGCCTTTTAAAATATCTATAGAACTGATGTAATGCTTTTGAAAAGGTACTGCAGAGTATTTTTGTCATGTTAAATGAGATGATTGGTAACTAGTGTCCAAACTTGGGAGATCGTGTTGTGCTAAATTCAGTAAAATAAGAGTTTAAACTTGTGGGATGACTCTTGGGAATATAGACGTGTGTCTTAAGTCAGAAAGATACTGGACAGATTATCCAGACTCCTGTTACAGTGCTCTTAAGGTAATTGAATTTTTCAAAAGTTGCAGGAAATCAAGAGTTTTTGACATGGGGTTAAATTAATTAGACATGTTAAACTGTACACTGGACTCCTGGTACAGTGCTCTTATTAATGAGAAGTTAAAGTTTTCCCTGTGGGATTGAAAACATGTTAAAAGAACAAGCCAGGTTTGTTAAACTATCTTGCAAAGTTTTAAAATGAAGGTGGAGAGAAAACCATGTTTCTGCAACTCGTTTTTTGTAAGAACCAGATTCTAATTCTACAGAGGTGATTGAATAAATGTATTTAATCTTGATCTAAAAGGTACCCTTCTTTGGGAAATTTAGATAAAACTTGGTTTACTGACTATAGGTAAACAGCCTAATGTATAAAGGAACTCAATGTTATACATGCTGTCACTAGTCTGATCAGAGCATTGGAAGCCAGAGTTTTACTAGGGTGAGGCTCATCTCAAGAGTACAGAATTAATTGCTTTCCCCCAGCCTGTGAATTGGCCAAAGTGTCAAGAAAGAGCATCTAAACTGGTTAAATTAGAATGAATTAATATCTAGTTCTAAAATACTGTGAATTTTCTTTCTACACTTTTTGTATTGCATCTCATTTTCTGTGAACAAAATTTTCTGTGAGTCGTTTGGAGAGAACAAGGATGTTAACAAC